AAGAGAGGACGATGAGATACGTTGATACAACAACACAACGAAGCAATCACTAAAGCTATCTCATTCACAGTTAGCCCAAAAAGCTTGATAAAGAGAGATTTCTAAACTCCTTATCCAGAAGCAAACTCCTCCTCCTTCCAAAGAGCTATAGTGTAAACACTTGAAGGTTTCCTTGCCTCAAGTACCACACCACGTTGAAGGATACAACTTTTTGATCAAACTTCTTGATTAAAAAGGGGATAGGTCAACTTTCTTACAAGTTGGTCTTGCAAGTCCTATTTGGATCTTGCAGTTGTTGAAGAAGCGTGACCTTCGAAGGAACAACAAAGCCAGCACGAGTGCAGTAGCAACATTGGTCTTGCAAAGATATACAGTGCAGAAATTCACACAAGTGTAATTGTTGGTTCATTATTCAACAACCAACTACATAGTGGATTTTGAAGACGTAGAAGGATTACCCCACCTTCGAACCTCGTTAAAGTTTGCGTGTCTCTCTCTTTTATCTTCACTCTTACTTGCAATTATATTAACTGTGAAAACTAACCCATCCATATTGATTACTGCTCACTCTACCCACCAAATTCCGCACACAATCTAAAGTTCACAAGAACTCTAGATTAACACTTATTTTCACGTTTTCAAAAGAAACGAAAAAGATTTTAAATCTGTAACAAAGTCTATTCACCCCCCCTCTAGACTTTGTATTTCACCACTTTGGGACCACCATACTTTCCCAATTATATCTGATAATCCATAAAAATACAATTTTATAAATTTCATAATCATAATACATGAAATGTATTTCATATGTGTAAGTATTTAAGTTATGTAAATGTAAATGACTCTTACCAACTAAAAAAGACTTGTCAGCAAACTTTGTTTTGAGTACATCTTCAAAACTCTTAAAGTGGAATCAAAAATTAGAAAATCCATTTTCCGATAATTTTTGAATCTTGGTCTTTACCAAAAATTGGAGCATGCAAGGTTGATTGGTAGTTTTTATGCCTTGGAAATTGCGTATAACCCTGACCTTCATGATTAAGTAAACCACATTTTCTTGCAAAGCTTGTTTGAATGTAACCTCTAAGTCGTGGAAAACAATATCCAATGATTCCGGCCCTCGAGGATGAGCAGGAACATAGTAAACTCTAATCGCTCTTAGCTTCATCATCAACAATCCGGAATTTTCATGAACATTTTTTAGGGCGGTAATCATTCCCATGTTCGTACAAAAATGAAGGTAGAGCACCGATTAATTAAAACTCTTTAAAACTCTCGTTTACTGAACACTCATTTACTTTTCTGGCGCGGTAAGGTAGCGTATTTATACTACTCAATTAATTTTCATGAACAATTAAAGTTTATTATGGTAATGGTAATTATGGTAATTAATACAATTATGGTTTATTATGGTAATTATAATTACATACAATCCGAAATTTTAATTACATACAATTAAATTTTATTATGGTAATTACATTTTTAATTATCTTTTGTGTTATACGTTCTTATTTCTTTAATTACCATTGTTAGATGTTCTATCGGTAGTTACTAATTAGATTAATTAGATTATTTTTTAGATGCCTTTTTTATATACGTTATTTGTTACCATTTTTTATATACGTTTTTAGTTACCTTTTATTACCATTTGTATAAATGGTTTTATTTCATACGTTTTTATATTCAAAAAATATTACACGTTTTTAATGTAATTATGTTTGAATATTTTATTATTTTATTACTACTTTAAATCACTTACCATTTTAATTGAGTAATTACATAATTACGGTAACTCCATTAATGACCATATACTAAACAAATCCACTGTTCGAAATAGGAGACTTTAATGATCCGTTCAAAGTACATGTATATATTACCATTTTTAAATGCAATAATTTAGTATATATTATTACATCTATATAAATTAGTGAATATAATTCAATACAATTACCATTTAGATATTACTACATATATATAAATTAGTGAACATAATACGAAAATAATATATATATTTTATTAGCCTTGTTTATTATTATTATTATTACTATTATTATATTATTATTATATAATAATAATATTATTATTATTATTATTATTATCATCATCATCATCATCATCATCATCATCATCATCATCATCATCATCATCAGTACATGGTACCATGACACATTTTATATTACCATAGCCAAATTAGAGGAATATCACATATAATTAATTATATTCACGGTAATTTTAATTGAGTAATTACTTAATTACGGTAACCACATTAATGATCCGTTTAATTAGCATTTAGTAATTACCATATGGAGTGTAGAATTACCATATTTTCTACAACACGAAATGGGCGGGAAAATAAAAATGTGAATCTATGGCTTTTTAAATTATATATATATATATATATATATATATATATATATATATATATATATATATATATATATATATATATATATATATATATATATATCTCCCTAATTTTATAATTGCCTATTGCTTTTATAATGTGTTTTTTTCCGTTTGTTTATAAC